TGTAGCTATAATGTGGTTAGTCTGAGTCTCTCAGTTTATCTCGGTTCAAGTTTGTTGTGTTTCTTGGATTTGTAGATCCTGGTCTTTACTCTAATTTGGGAGTTTTGGCCATTATTTCCTCAAATAACCTTTTGCCTGTATTTTTCTTCTCCTTTGACCCTCATAATGTGTATATTGGTCTGCTTGATGATATCCCACAAGTCCCTTGGTCTCTCACTTTTCTTAATTCTGTTCTCTTTCTGCTACTTAGACATGATAATTTCAGTTGACACCTTCAGGTTTAATGATTCTTCTTCCTGCTCGTATCTGAATCGTTTGTAAAGTTATTTCACTTTTTTCTTTTTCAGTTCCAGATTTTCTGTTTGGTTCTTGTTTGTAATTTCTACTTCTTTGTTGGTATTCCCATTTTGTATCTTTTCTTGATTTCTTTTAGATTGTGCCCAGTTTTGCTTTGTGTAATGAGTCCATTGTTGAGGACCTCTTAGGGATGTTTTCTGTTATTTTAATTTCTTCTTTTGAATTGGCCGTGTTTTCCTGTTTCATTGTTTGGGTTGTGGGTTGTTTTTTTTAATTGCACATTGAGGGTTTAGTTATTATAATGTGATAACTCTGGAAGTTAAGTTCTCTCCCTTCCCAAGAATTTTTCTGTATTTTTTTCTTTAGTTGTTACTGTCTGATTGTTATGAGACTCTCATTTATTTTTACAAAATTTGTTTATGGTTTTACATCATTACTGAATGCTCTTTTCCTTTCACCAGTGTTCTGTTAATGTTTTGAGAGAGAGTTCCTTGAATGCTGATTTCTTTCCAGTCTTTTTAGGTTAGCTCTGTACTGGGATACTTCTCTAGTACTTAACTAGGCTTACAATTAAGCTAAGGATCCCTCTGAGGTTAAAACTTGAGGTTTGCTCAGTTTTTTTTTTTCCTGGGGAAACATGGCTTTTTAAATTCTTCTGTATGTTTTGCTAGTTTCAAATGCCCTAAATTCCAAGAGTCTTATCCTAGCTTCTTTTCTGGGCCTTAGATGGTCAGTTGTATTTCTCCATGTATAATGTCTTGGCCCTGGCATCTGTGGGTTTACAGTTGCCTTGTAACTTTTTTTCTCTTTATGCATTTCCTTCTGTTTCTCCCATTAGAATTTAAGTTAGGTGAAATAGCAGTTAGAATTTTATGTAATTCCTTCAGTTATCCTCTGGCAGGTTAGAATAGTACAATAGAATAATACAATAATTAGCAAATAATTTTTACTGTACTCCCTCTGGTTTGAGGGAAGAAACTGTCCACAAGGCTACTGCTGCTTCAAGAATAAGACTATCACTTCACTAAGAGGTAGTGGGCTAGGAGCAAATAAAAATACTATAAAACTTTCCTACCAGTTTTAAAATGGCCTTTTCTTGACTGGTCATTTACTTGGTTGCTATAAACCTTTGACTGTTTTCCAGAACTCTGACAGTTGGTTCAGTTTCTGTTTTTTAAAGTTTTTTCCTTTTACATTTTTTTATATTTCTGTGTGAAAACAGGAGCTTAGAGCTTGTTTTTTGTCATTTTGTTGACATCTTTTCCCTTAGTTTTTGAATGTTATAATCCATGGGTATAGAATTCTAAGTTATTAACTTTTTCTTTCATCTGTGTAAAGATGTTGCTTCTTCATGACATGGTTGTTTGTTGTCTATTTTTGCCCCTCACCCACCCATGTGTACGTAATGTGTCCTTTTTTTTTTTCCATTTATTTTTATTAGTTGGAGGCTAATTACATCATTACAGTAGTTTTTGTCATACATTGAAATGAATTAGCCATGGATTTACATGCATTCCCCATCCCAGTCCCCCCTCCCACCTCCCTCTCCACCCGATCCCTCTGGGTCTTCCCAGTGCACCAGCCCCGAGCACTTGTCTCATACATCCAACCTGGGCTGGTGATCTGTTTCACCCTAGATAATATACATGTTTCAATGCTGTTCTCTTGAAACATCCCACCCTCGCCTTCTCCCAGAGTCCACAAGTCTGTTCTATACATCTGAG